TATATGATTGCAGTCATTTCTGTATTACCTTCAATAAAACTTTACTTACATGGGATATCAAAGATATCGTCTGATGGTTTCGTATTGTTATTCTGATGATGATGTATTGATAATTGCTGGCAATTGGAATGCAAAGATTGGAAACAAAGAGAAAGAATCAGGCTTTGGTGATAGAAATGATGCTGGAGATTGCATGATAGGATTTTGCAAGATCATTGACTTCTTTGCAAATACCTTTTTTTAAACAACATAAAAGATGACTAGACACATGGACCTCACCAGATGGAGTAAACAAAAAACAAATTGATTGCACCTGTGGAAAGAGATGGTATAAAAGCTCTCTTTGTTGTTTTTGTTGTTGCTATGTGCCGTGGAGTCGGTTCCGACTCATAGCAACCCTTCATAGGGTTTCCAAGGCTGTAAATCCTTACGGGACCAGAAAGCCTCATCTTTTTTCCCCACAGAACAGCTGGTAGTTTTGAATTGCTGACCTTAAGATTAGCAGCCTGATTTGTAACCACTACGCTACCAGAGCGCCTTATCATCAACCAAAACAAGACCAGGGGCTGACTATGGAACACACCATCAATTGTTCATATGCAAATTCAGGCTGCTGCTGAAGAAAACTAAAAGAAGCTTGTTTTTGTTGTTGTTAAGTGCTGTCGAGTTGATTCCGACCCATAGTGACCCTGTAAAGGGTTTCTAAGGAGCAGCTAGTGAGCTTGAACCACCATTCTTACAGTTCAAATGGCTTTGCAGTCTGATGCATTAGCCCACAGTGCCACACCAGGACTCCAAAAGAAGCTTACCAGAGTCAAAATACGACCTTGAACTCTCCCACCTGAATTTAGAGACCATCTCAAGGACAGATTTGATTAATTATATACTAATGACTGAGGACCAGATTAGTTGTGGGATGGCATGAAGAACATTATACAGGAAGAAAGCAAAAGGTCATTAAGACAAGAAAGAAGTAAAAGACCAATGAATGTTAGAAGAGACGCTGAAACCTGCTCTCCAGTGTAGAGATGCTAAAGCAAATGGAAGAAATGAGCTTTCATATGAAGAGCTGAATAGAAATTTTCAAAGGGCAGCTCCAGAAGACAAAGTCAAATATTAAAATGAAATGTGCAAAGACCTGGAATTGGAAAATCAAAAGATAAGAACATGCTCAGCATTTCTCAAGCTGAGGGAACTGAAGAAAAAAAAATTCAAGCCTTGACTTGCAATATTGAAGGGTTCTCTGGGTGCCTTGACCCAAGCCATGGTATTTTCAATAACCTCATATTCATGTGAAAGCTGGACAGTAAATAAGGAAGACCATAGAAGAATTGATATATTTGAGTTATGGTGTTGGGGGAGAATATTGAAAGTGCCATGGGCTGCCTAAAGAACCAACAGATCCGTGTTGGAAAAAGTGCAGCCGGAGTGCTCCTTGGAGGCCAGGGTGGCCAAGCTTCGTCTCTCATATTGCGGACATACTGTTAGGAGGGACCAGTCCCTGGAGAAGGGTATCATGTTTGGTAAAGTGGAGGGTCAGAGAGAAAGAGGAAGACCCCCAATGAGATAGATTGGCCAAGTCGCTGCCTCGATGGAAGCAAGCTTGGCAACAATAGTGAGGTTGGCCCAGGATCGGGCAGGGTTTTGTTCTGCTGTGCATAAGGTTGCTATGAGTCAATACTGACTCGATGGCACCTAACAACAACAACAACAACAACAACAATGGGCAAAATATTGAATGATGCAAGAAGCAGCAAAAGAAAATGGGAGGAATACAAAGAGTTACTGTACCAAAAAGAAATGGTCGATATTCAACCATTTCAAGAGGTAGCATATGATCAAGAGCCAATGATATTGAAGGAGGAAGTCCAAGGTGCATTGAAGGAATTGGCAAAGAACAAGGTACCAGGAGTTGATGAAATAAAAGTTGAAATCTTTCAACAAACTGATGCAGCACTAGAGGCACTCACTCATCTATGCCAAGAAATTTGGAAGACAGCTACTTGGCCAAATGATTGGAAGAAATCCGTATTTATTCCCATTCCAAAGAGAGATGAACAATGGATTGTGGAAATCATTGGACAATATCATTAGTTTTACATGCAAGTAAATTTTTGTTAAAGATCATTCAAAAACAGTGCAGCAGTACATTGACAGGGAATTGCCACAGGTTTAAGCCAGATTCATATGTGGAATGGTACGAGGTATATCATTGCTGGTGTCAGATGGATCTTGGCTGAAAGCAAAGAGTACCAGAAAGATGTTTACTTGTGCTTTATTAACTACACAGAGGCTTTCGATTGTGTGGATCATGACAAGCTATGGACAACATTACGAAGTATGAGTATTCCAGAACTTTTAATTGTGCTCCTGAGGAACCTGTACATGGACCAAAAGGCAGTTATTAGAACAGAACTCACCACTGGACCAATAAGTAACGTCCATATAAATGGAGAAAAGATTGAAGTTGGCAGAGACTTCAGTTTGCGCAAATCAACCATCTACACTCATGGAAGCTTCAGTCAAGAAATCAAACACCGTATTGCACTGGGCAAATCTGCTACACAAGACCTCTTTAAAGTGTTCAAGAGTAAAGATGTCAGTTTGAAGACTAAGGAGCACCTGACCCAAGTTATGGTATTTTCAGTCACTTCAAATACATGTGGAAGTTGGGCAATGAATAAAGAAGTTTGTAGAATTGATACATTTGTTATGGTGTCGGAAGTGAATGATAAAAGTACCATGAACTGCCAAAAGAACAAGCTAATCTGTGTTGGGAGAAGTACAGCCAGAAAGCTCCTTAGAAGCCAGGACATATTATCAGGAGGGTCCAGTAGAAGGACTTCATGCTTGGTAAAGTGGAAGGTCAGCAAAAAGAGGAAGACCCCCAATGAGATGGATTGACACAGTGGCAGCAGCAGTGGGCTCAAGCTTAGCAATGTTTGAGTTTGGCTTAGGACCAGACAGTGTTTTGTTTTGCTGTGCATAAGGTCACTATGGGTCATGCATCTAACAACAACAACAGTATCTTGTGGGTGGAAAGTTGTACAATTTGTGTTTTTCTGTTCAGTTCTTTGATAACTTGTTAAAGTACATCTTCCAGATGATGTCAGCAGAAAAACAGGTTTCTGTAGAAAGATCAACTAATAGTTGTAGCACAGATAAAATGAAAGGGTTTTACTTGAACTTTCCAGCCTTCTCAGGTTCTGAAATCTCACCCTGTGAGTCATGTAAGCATTATCAATCCGCAGTTGTTCTTTAGATGGTAAAGGCATTTTGGTCCCAGTATGTTTACCCAAGTATTCAGTAAACACCTACTATGTCTTAACCAAGTATTTAGTAAGTACGTTACGTTATGCACTTTGATAATGCTGTGAACAAGACAAAAAAATTCTCTGTTATTAAAAAACTTATATTCTAGTGGGCAAAAGACAAGAAATAGATAAATTTCTGATGGAATCCTACAAAGAGAATAAAATTGTAATGAGATAATGAGAATGGATAATCAGAACTAGAAACTAAAAGTTATAAATTAAGCATGATTTCAGTATCATGATTTTTGTATATGCCACATACTCATTATAATATTACTATTATGTCATTTATTATAAGAAGCTTTCATTTAAAATTGCTTTTTCCAGTTACCACAAAGTCTGAGGTTGTTATGGAGTTCATCCATAATCTACCCTTAGATGTGAGGGGCCTTCAGAAAGTTCGTGGGATAATGGAATTAAAAGATAATGGAATTTTTCCATGAACTTTTGGAAACACAATCATACTACGTTGATGTATCAGTTTTATTTTTCAGATTTTATTTTATTATCAGCTAAGTTAAGAATTCTCTGGAAGTTTGAATATACTTAATAAATTTGGAAAAAAACCTTTTATTTGGTTTAGCGCTCAAGTTTGAGTTGTGACTTTTGAAAATGGCATGGATTCTAAAGTAATTAAGGCTGAATTTGCAGCGAATTTATAGTTGATGTCTTTGCTCATATAATTTGTTCAACTGCTTTCTTCTTAGGTATGACGAGATGAGTATCCTTTTCACAGTTTTGGTTACTGAAGCTACTTTGGAGAATGGGCTAATACATCTGAGAAGTAGAGACACCACGATGAAGGAAATGATGCACCTATCCAAAGTAAAAGACTTTCTAACCAAGTATATATCATCGGCTAAGAACATATAGATAGGAATATTTGTATAATAAATAATTTGCTTTCCTGATTTGGTTGTTTTATTTTAGCTTAGTTTTTTGTTTTTTTTTTTTAAGCCTCTTTGTACTTAAGAGGTGGACAATTTTGGTGCTGTCTTTGATTCAGTTTTATTGAATTTCTTCATGTATTATATTGATAGGAATGTGTTTAGCTATAAAAACCAAAAAATTCTTCTGTTCTGGCTTAATAAGTAAATTGGGGAGGGGGAGGACTTTCTTTTCTTTTTTTTTTCCCCTTGAACATTTTATTATGATTGGGTGAAAGTGTACAGAGCACATTAGATTCCTCTGCAACAATTTATACACATTTTGTTTTGTGATGTTAGTTGCAATCTCCTCAATGTAATAGCACTCTTCCCACTTTGTCCCGGGCTTCCTGTTTCCATTTGTCCTTCTTTCCTGCCCCTTACCCTGTGAACTTTGTTTTTTGGTAAATGCTGTCTTTTGGGGCATGATTGTTTCTTCTGAGGATTGCATCTGTCACAAATGTTATTGTTTGGCTGAAAGGCTTGGTTCAGATTTGGAAGATGTGTACAGGTCATAGTCTTGTGGTAGCATTCGAGGTGATTCTTACATAACAATAAATCTAGGGTATGCACTGTCTGGCATAGCAGTTTACAGTTAGGGGCACGGGCTCTTTATCTATCTACTCTACCATCTTTAGTACTTAGTAGGCTTTTATCTTTCTACCTATTGCCTCACACTCACAAGGCAGCTGCTGTAGCTCCAGCCTTTGTTCACTATTTTGAGGGCAGTTGATCACATGGTTCCTGTTTTTACAACTCCTCCTGCCAGCTGCCCTGGTGTTGCCCTGCAGATTGCCCGTTTCCCATTTTTCTATTGGGTTGTAGGTTTATTTCTTAATGATTAGTAGGTGTTCATTACATGCCATAAAATTTAGTGCTTTATCTGAGATATGGGTTGAAATGTTTTCCCCTAATCGTTTGACTTAGTTTATGATTTAAACTTTTTTAATATGTTTCATTTAGTCAAACTTATATCTTCTGGGTTGTGAATCACACCTAGAAAAGCCTTCCCCAACTCACGATTATTTTTAATTCCCTGCTTTCTAGCACTTTATGTGACTTCATTTTTATGTATTTTAATATGTGGCCTATCTGAATTAATTTTATTAAAGAGTGGGTGAGATAAGAATTCAATATACTCTTTTCAAGTGGTCCTCAGGTTTTTGCAATACAATATATTAAATAATACATATTTTCCCCACTGATTTGAAATAGCATATGTATTGGACACCAAATTCAAACACCAGGAGTTCTTCTGTAGCACTGTAAGATAAGCACACTCAATCCTAAGGCCAGTTTGAACTGCAAGGTCGGCAGTTTAAACTCACTAGCTGCTTCTCAGAAGCTCTATACATGATTGCTATGAGTCAGAAACGACTCAACAGCACAGACTAACAATAAATTTCCATCTGTCGTTCTATGTACAGCTGGACTTTCTGTTGTGTTGTATTTCATGTTCTAGTAGTGCCCTTTAAAAAATGATGGTTTGAAATAGCAATGTGTGGAAACCTTACACACATCACACACTCTTTATTTGACATATTTCGTTGCAGCCAAGGTTACGGATGTGGTTTATCTTCTGCTGATTGGATGTGCAGGTTTGTATTTGAAGAGTAGAATGGAGGTGGTAGTTGTGGCTGACAAGTACACATTGCAGTGTCAAAGCTCGACACCCCACTGTGTGGTCCCCAGCTTCTGGGCAGTTGTGGCAGAGGTGGCAGTGGGACCTGTATCATCTAGTTTTCTGGTCTCCAGATCGTAAGAGAATCTACAGAGAAATTATTGAAATTGGAGAGTTAAACAAGGTTGCTGGGTGTAATGTCAACCAAAATAATTATGTTCCTCTGTGTCAGCAGTGTGAACTAAAAATAAAACTTATTCCTAATAACAAAATACCAAGTATCTGGAGTCCTGGTGTGGCGCTGTGGGTTAATGCGCCAGACTGCAAAGCCGTTTGAACCTCAAAGTTGGCGGTACAAGCTCACCAGCTGTTTCTCGATAACCCTATACAGGGTTGCTATGGATTGGAACCGACTCGACGGCACTTCACAACAACAACATGAAGAGGTCTACCAAAATAGGTGCAAAATATTTGTGCAGAAAGTAGTAAAACATTGTTGAGAGAATTGAAGATTTAAACAAATGGAGAGGTATACCATGTATAATTTTGGACCATGCAAAGGCTTTATGGATCATAGCAAATTTTAGATAACATTGCAAAGAATGGGAATTTCAGATACTTATATGCAACCTATACAAAGAGCTCTGGTAGCGTAGTGGTTACAAATTAGGCTGATAACCTAAAGGTCAGCAGTTCGAAACTACCAGGTGTTCCATGGGAGAAAAATAAGGCTTTCTGCTTCCGTAAAGATTTACAGACTTGGAAACCCTGTGCAGGGTCCCTATGAGTCGGAACCGACTCCACGGTACTTAACAACAACATACATAGACCAAGAGGCAGTTAGTTGTTCAAACAGAACAAGGGGATACTTCATGGTTTAAAATTAGGAAAGATGTATGTCAGGGATGGATCCTTTCACCATACTTGATCAATCTATATGCTGAGCACATAATCTGAGAAGCTGGACTATAGAAAGAGTAAAGCATCAGGGTTGGAAGAAGACATATTAACCCGCAGGGTGCAGATGGCAAACTTGTTTGCTGAAAGTGAAGCGGACTTGAAGCACTTACTAATGAACATCAGTATAGATAACACCTCAACATAAAACTTAAATCCTTAACTAGACCAATAAGCCACATCATAATAAGCAACAGAATGCATCAAAGGATTTAATTTTATTTGAATCACAATCATTGCCCAGGGAAGCAGCATTGAAGAAATCAAACAATGTATTTTGCACATGCAAATCTGCTGCAAAAGACCTATTGAAATGTTCAAAAGCAAAGGTGGCAGTTTGAGGACTAAGGTGCGCCTTGCCCAGGCCATGATGTTTCAGACACGTCATACACATGTGAAAGTTGGAAAATGAATAAGGAAGATCAAAGAAGATGCATTTGAATTACAGCATTAGAGAAGAATATTGAATATACTACTGACTGCCAGAAGAACGAATGAATCTGTCTTGGAAGAAGTATTTGAGTGCCCCTTAGAAGAAAGGATAGAGCAACTCTCTCACAGATTTCAGATGTGTTACCCATCTGTCCAGTTCTAAAGAAGCACATTATGCTTAGAGGGTCAGTGACAATGAGGAAGAACCTGAATGAGATGGATTGACACTGTGACTACGAGATAGTACAGGCCAGGATATGTTTTGTTCTGTTGTACACAAGGTAGCTGTCAGTTGGAACCAATTTGATGGCACCTAACAATCACCATCTTGTATGTATATGCTTTGGAAGACTTGATACCATAAAAAACCTTACTTCTCCACAAACTGATAATAGTTTCATTGTTTTTCTCTTAAGAATATGACAAGCTGACTAAAATTCATATGGAAAAGCACTAAGAAATGCTAAGACATTCTCAAGAAGAGCACATAGGGGAATCTGTTCTAGTTATGAAGCTTCAGTAAAAACAGAATGATACTGATACAGGAGAGGTAAATAGGGCAATGAAACAGGATCTATAGTCCAAAGGGACCCCACACTTGATTTGTGACTTAGATGACTACAGTGTAGTGGGAAAAGGACAGTCATTTCACATCAGCGGTGCTGTTCATTGGGGGAAAGAAAAGCATGGTCCTAACTTCACATCACACACAGGAACTTGTGGTGATGTTTTTAAAGTGCCGTCAAGTAGATTCCAACTCATAGCGACCCTGTATAGGATTTCCAAGGAGCGGCTTATGGGTTTGAACTACCAACTTTGTGGTTCAAACTGACCTTGCAGTCCAGTGCATTAACCCATAGCACCATACCAGCTGTTGTTAAGTGCTGCTGAGTCAGTTCCAACTCATAGCGACTCTGTATTGGGTTTCCAAAGAGCGACTGGTGAGCTTGAACCACTGACTTTGCAATTCAAACCAACCTTGCAGTCCAGGGCATTAACCCATAGCACCATACCAGGACTCCTAAAAAGACTTTTACAAGATATGACCTCAGTTAAGATTTCTCATCTTGGATTAAAAACAACAAAAAAATAGTTATCTGAAAGAAAAGATAGACAAATTAAGAGTTCTCTAGAAAATGTTTTCATCACAAGGCACCATGAAGACTGAAAAATAAAGCTAGAAAAGGGGAGAGAAACTACCAAAAAAAAAAAAATGAAAGCTGCAAATCCCAGTACAAAGATAGGTGAGCGCCTCAGAAAGATACTTCATAAGAGAAAAATCAAATGGCCTATAATTGTACTAGAAAGTGCTTAACTTCATTAGTCATCAGGAAAAGGGTAAGTTAAAATCCAAGTAAGATACTCTTGTGTATGCATCCTCCATTCTTCAAAAGTTCACTTTACATATTTCACTTTTACAAAAGACCAACATTAGGACTTGTTTTCTGGAAGAAAGTCAAAGAGGGTTTTTGCTTTTACCAAAAAAAAATATAAAAAGATGAATAGCGAAACTAGCTTTCAGCCTTGGTTTATTAGCAAGCCATTAAAAAGCCCCCCCCCCCCCCAAGCAGCAAGAGTGGTGTCGGCAAAGCTCCTAGAACTACACTGAACATACGCTACACCTACTTTACAGACATTGTGCATTTATTTCTTTCCTGCTTTTGCAATAAGTTGATGTCATTTTAGGAGCTGGTTACTGCATCAGGCTACTAACCACAAGGTCAGCAGTCAGAATGTACCAGCTCCGCAGGAGAAAGATGAGGCTTTCTGCTCCCATAAAGATTGTTGCTGCTGTTATGACTCAGTGCCGTGAAGTCGGTTCTAATAACGATCCTGTAGGATTTCCGAGGAGCGACTGATGAACTTGAACCACTGACCTTGAGGCTTAAACCAACAGTGTGGTCCAGCACACTAACCCTCAGCACAACACTAGGACT